GAACAAATTTTTCGTGCTCTATTGAACAGTGTTCTGACTAAGTTCTTTTTGTACTGGATTGGAACAAAACTCTTGAAATGCATGTACTGTCCTGACCATGAGGACTTTCTAAATATAGATCTTTCGATTGTGCCATCATTCATTTTCGCCAGAAAAACGTCTAGGAATTTGATAGTATCATTTTCCTCGTGTTCTACTGTGAGATTGAGATTTGGATGGCATGAGTTGAATTTTATCAGCATGTCTTCGGCTTTTGATCTGCTTCCACAGGCAATAAAAATGTCATCAACATATCTTAGGTATAGATCCGTTTCTTGTATATGTTGTTGCAGGGTACTGGTTTCTAGGCGTGACAAGAATAAGTCAGCGAAAAGTGGTCCCAAGGGGCTTCCCATTGCGACACCATCAACTTGACGGAATAAACGCCCATCGAATTGGAATTGGACATTTTTAGTACATAAAAGTAGCAATTTCCTCAACTCCGACGTTGGAATGGGTATGTCTTCAGCTTCTTCACATATGATGTCTATAGTTTCAATGACTGGCACATTTGTGAAGAGGGAGGTAACATCGAAAGAGACTAAATGTTTATCAGATACATTGAAATCTTTGATTTGCTTGACAAACTGGAATGAATCAGAAACGATATACTTCCCGAAGCGTTTATGCAGGGGCTGCAACATTTCACATAACCACTGTGCTAATTTGTGGTATGGTGAGTTTATCATCGAGAGTATGGGTCCTAATGGCGCTCCTGGTTTGTGTATTTTAACACGCCCGTATAGTTTTGGGATTTGTGACCCGATCGGCTTGATATTTCTATATGTTATCATCAGTGTATTTATTTTTGAATAGTTGACGTAGCTGCTGTACAATTTTCTTTTCGATTGACAACGTTTGATCTTTTGCTTGATTGTCCAACTTGAATTTAGATTCATCGGAGAGAATTTGATGCATTTTTTCGAGATAATCTGTCTTATTCATTAGCACTACGCTTTGTCCTTTATCAGCTTGTAGAATAACAAGATTATTGTCTCTTCGGAGCTTGTTTAATGATCTCCAGTGTTCTTTGGCGATGTGCGACTTTTGGTTCGTTGGTATGATTCGAAATTGGTGAGCAATATCAACCATCTTTGCTTTCAACCAGCTTTCGCTGTCGTTGGACGTGGCATGTAGCCCCATAAGTTGATCTTAAAGATTTTCGATTTGGCATTCGATGTAAATTTGCTTTATGTTTCTCATGGGAACACAGAAGTTGAATCCCATTGACAGAATTTCCACTTGTTCTTTTGATAGGGAAACATCAGATAAATTGTGAACATAATTAGATATATCCACTGGGAAAATTTCATTTGGCGGTCCCGGATGAAGTGACTTTTTCAGTTTCTTTTCATCTGATTCTTTTGTCTTTTTAGCAGTGGCATGCAGATATTTAGTGAATTTAAGATAACATACGAAATTTAAGTCATTTTGTACACTGATTAGTTTGCTTGATAATACGCATAAATTACTGATTTCATCTGATTCAGAAGACAAATGTGATTCAGCAAGACGGTAAAGATTTGGCCGTGTAGGTCTCAAATGATCTTTACGCAAGGATTTGTAAAATGTCCGAGGATAAATATTAGTCTGGATACATTCCTTCAAAAAATCACGTCGCGCAGAGTGTTTAGCAATCCTACACCTCAATTTCACTAGATCATTTAGTGCATTGATAGTGCTTTCCGAGAGACGCTTCTTCAAGAATTGGAAACATTTATTTCCTGATACGAATTTAAAACAAGCAATAAAGGTTAATGAAGCAGGATTTAATGAATTCATCAAATTTCGGTAGAACTCGTCAGCTGAATACTCTACATACACGGATACATACTTTTGAAGTTACATTGGGAGATATAGGGCTGAATACTTTACATACACGGATATATATACTTGTGGATTGCGGGCATGATATCGACGCAGTCAAGTCATTCACCATTGTCAGCAGACAAAGAAACAAGAAGATGCTTGCAATTGCAGAGGCTTGTGCAATTCGAGTTTACAAACCAGGTCTCTGTGTACAAAAGGAGATGGTCGTGACTCTGAATCTACCATGGTAATACGTTTTGCTTATAATTCTACCTCTTATTATTATTTTATTATTACTATTATTATTCTCATTATTATTATTCTTGATTCATTTAAAACTATCCTTTATCGGTAGCATTATCTTAACTCACTTCAACACTTTTATTATTGTTATTATAACTATTACTATCTACATCCCTCTGGTTGCAATTCTTGTTAAATTCTCTAATGTCTAATTGTTTATCTAAGTGATGTAACTGAAGCGTAATGCAATTTATCTTAATTTTCAAGTGTTGGTTTGTAGGGATTTGATTGATCTCCCATACTCTCTCTCCCCTTATCTAATTGAACATGACCTGGAAAAACATTCGCACCTGTCTTTCTGCATGACTAATTCAATGTAGTTTATTTACTCATCAGTCTTATATCTCCCAATGTAACTTCAAAAGTATGTATCCGTGTATGTAGAGTATTCAGCTGACGAGTTCTACCGAAATTTGATGAATTCATTAAATCCTGCTTTAGTAAGCTTTATTGCTTGTTTTAAATTCGTATCGGGAAATAAATGTTTCCAACAAAATTGATTAGTAAAGAATTGAGAAACATGAGTTCTCTATGTTTTCAACTCAATGTGTAGTTGAGTATCAAGTGAATTGTTGAGGCCAACGATGCATGTGCTTATATATATTACGTCTCAACTGTTGACTATCACTTTCACTTCATTACGCAAAACAAACTTCTACGACATCTAGATTTACTTGGATGCCAAACTCATCAGCTCTACTAGATTCTGTATGTAAAACATAAATGAGATTTGTTAAACGATCTACGGAACTATTTGTTTAGTTGCACGTTGCTCAGTAGCTGTTTGCATTAAGATGAAATTATTCACAGAAATATTTCAGTGTTCAGAGATTGAAGCAATACCTGTAGGATTTTAGTTCATTCTGGTTCCCACTCCATGTTAGTTTCCTATGTTTTTCCGACTAATACATATATATATATATTCACTAAATTGCCTAATTATACCCTTGTACCTAACTAAATGTACACTGATATACGAAATGTTCCACTTACATTTGTATATTCCACTTATCTTCCAGCTAATGAATAAACTTATCCTTGTCTATTGAAGGCCTCCCTTTGACAGATCCACTGTCAATGTCACAATTAGTCAAGGAGGATTTCCCAACTCCCCACCAAACAGGATACATCAATTTCTAATTCAGCAGATGAAAATTTGCGTCTACTCAACGCACCTTTACCACAAACTGCACCTCAATCACAGCCTGCAGTTCCAATGTCACCAGCAACTGCAGCGAATAAGAAACCACTCCATCCTCCCTTCTTCCTCCCACAACGACCACTCCGTTTAGTTCTACCTCACTCATATCCTTATCCATTCCCATATGCAATTCCAGTAAAAAACGCTACTTAGTCGTTGTCCAACAATAATCTCATCGTTCAACCAGATTTCCCAGAGAATCATATATTTGTATGCAAACATGTAAATTCGTGTACACATTTGCATAAATACTCGTATATGACACTTTCAGAAGTTTCCCTTCTGCATGTTATTCAACAACTTAATTAACCCACACGTTGCTAGGCTATTCAAATATATTAGAATAAATGTGTCCAAATACTAACTGGTTCACTGTCCTATGTCTTTTGAATCAGTCAGCAACATGTCGTTTACAGTCAGTCCTATTCAAGTTATCTGAATCTGAGTTTCCTCATTTCACTTGCAGCCGAGCAGAACCAGTTGACAGCATGCTTCTTTGTAGATTGTAAGTTTCTGGTCGAAATAAATGTGCAGTTGGATAAGAATTTCCTATATGGTAGCGTCCACTTGAGAGGAACTGTGTTTTTCTCCAGGTATCCTTTGTTAGCAACGCCGTGTAACTTCAAAAAGAGTGATGCTTAGATGACAACATCGCATTTGACCATTAATCTTAATTGTAAGAGAGTCATTACTAAAGTACTGTGTGAATAATTAAAACATGTTCCGTGCACAATGTGTTTTTCAATCTTCATTAACGAAGGTGGAATGAGTTGTGACTTATTCCTTGCTAAGCATAATCGTCATTTCACTCAGTTCACCTTATTCAAGAGACTTTGTCAATAAACCATTCTATACTCACATGCTGGTGATTTGAACATCAGTTAGTTAAACTCGCATATATATCTTATAGAATTATGTTATAACACCATTTCTATGGAAATAAAAGTTAAAAGTGGATCATACATTACCAATCAGTAGTCTCACGATTTACTGGATCAAGATGAGACACATGTCAAACGTCTACGAATGCAAGAAAACCCCATGTAGAATTCACTCTCACTTCAGCTTTCCACAATCAAACATTTCATTTAAGTGCATTTAATCCTGAATTCCTATCATCATTCATTCATTCATTTAACCTGATAAATTCACATGTGCATATTTCTCGACTTTCACTTTTGCTAGCTTTCCTACATACAGTTGTTCATTGAGATATTTCCAACGTTTCTGAACTTTACTCACTCGTACATTCAATCAAATATCTCTTCTCAGATATGTTTCTGTGTGAAATGGGTATTTACGGAGCACTATTTGGTGGTGATTTGTGTCTCGAATATTCGAGTTTACTGATGATTATTGCTTAGAAAGTTACGAGAAGTTTCAGCTTCCGTTTTTATTTGTTTCAAGTCATGAAAACAAGAAGAAATAAGATTGTGTGGTCACCAGCCATTCGACCTACATTTTTCGAATAGTTCTACAACTTTGTCTCATACATCAGAATTAACATCTAACCTCAACCGGAATACTCAATGGTATCGAAATTAACTTCTCCAGGATTATAAGCTGTGGTGCATAAAAGTGTAGAACGAAATGACAAGCAGTTTTGTTCACAGGATGTATTTATTCAACAACGGGTAGTTCGTCACATTCAATTAGATGAAGAATTTTGACGAACAATTCCGTGAAGGCACCATAAATAATCAAAGACATCTAGAATACACCATCGATTTTCATGTTTCACCCACGGATATGGTCCTGGAATAAATGGGAATGGTGGGTATATATTTGGCGAGAAAGGACTCTGTGAATAGATATCTGTTGGATATGGTAGTGTTCTTCCGTCAAATGAAGCGTTTGACAGTGCTTCGGAATTTAATGCACTCAGTGTTACATTTAATTCATCAGGCTTGGATGACGCTTGACCTACTTGAAATAAATTAAACAAACAATATAATGGTTGTTGAGAATGAGTAGAATTTAAAGGTGATAATAACCAACATGTAAATATTTCCCTTAGTGCGTTGGTGGCATAGTGGGAAGGACGCTCGCGGACCATGCACATGGTCCGGGGATCGATCCCCGGCCGACGCACTCCTTTACCTCGCTAAGCCAGAAATAATGCTGGTGAAGAAGAAAGGTTGGGCATGAAGCTAGTAACCCCATCCTGTAAAAATGAATACTGCTACGGAAACTTCAAGCCGCAATCTTGAAGCCCTATGTTCCACTGGGGAAAGTGACGGAAAAGAATCTGTGCATTGCTCTCTAACACATCCTATTTTTCAAATGATTCTCAACTATTGTCAAATCATATTCTTAAATCACACTTTTCACAGCTTCACGAAGAATGCAGACAGATTCAATTTGAATCATACCGTAAGACCTGGAGAAGTGGTATTTATTTATAAATCCTACAAATAAGGCCTTAGATGAAGTTGACGTTTTCACTCTAATATTTTCATGACCGAATGAAAAGTTCATTCGAACAATCACTTACTGAGTCTACTATAGAGTACAACGAGTTATATAAACGAAACTCACCATAGATAAACTTTGACAACAACAAAACAAATAGAAATTGAAGTGAGTAAGAACGTGTTTGGTTTCTTTGATTATGAAATGAGGTCAGCCTGATATGTGACACATTTCTCAGCTGATGCATAACTTAGCATAATTGTTCAACACTATACACTCACAAACACCCACGAATTTTACTGATATAAGCTGAAGAGTGTGTTTATTGTTGAATCATGTTTAGGAAAATATTTAGATTGAGTAATAAACAGAAAGAACATAAATTTTTTTAATGAGTAGACATGAGTATAAATAACTGAATGTTTTCAAAATTTGATTTAAGTGGTGCGATACTCATTCACTCTCAGCTGTCAAAATGTATCACATTTCTAATAGTGATGCATAGACAAGTCATTTGGAGCAGGTTGATTTTGACTGATTACCAGTGATCTGTGTTATAAATAGGATTTCCAGAGACAGTTGGTCATTTTACGATTATGATAGATTACCTTCCATCGAAACTTGTATCTCTTCAAGATAAACTGACAAGTGAGGTATATTTCATTCCTTGTCAGGAAGATGTGTATCGTCCTACAAAAAAATGTTTATTTCCAGTTTCAGCTGATTTCAGTTTAACTTCCAAAGTTCAGTAAAACTGAAGTCTTTAACTCTGAAAACTTCCCTTGGCATTAAGCGATGCCTCGACACTGTTGGAATTAATAACCTGGGTAAATTTGTTTCTTGGTAACTAGCAATAAAGACTACGAAACGCGTTTCCTCCTATTTTGAGACTGGAGTCACCTAGAACTACTTTCTCTGAAATGACTGATGTTGTCCCGTTTGAAACTTGAATCTAGCACGTATTGCTCCCAACACTATAGCGTTAACCATTAGGCCACTTAGCTACGTCTGTACTCTCTTGTTGAAGGAGTGGGACTCGGGTATATGCTCTGGATACTACTGGTGACCACCATCGAATTAGTTAATTCTTGCATTATTTAAATTTAAAGAAATCAAATTTAGTCGCTCCATATTACTATTTGTTAAAACAATAAATGTGAATATAAGTTAAAAATTATTAGATGTTCAATATTACACACTATCAGAAAACACGTATCTTACCATCTGTAAGGAATGGACTAGATGATACGAAGCAAAAGACGACAGTGCTGGTAAACAATAGACTGTTGAATATTCTGAAGATAAAGGATAAGTTTTAACAACAGGCGGAAAGCATACGACGAATAAAATATATATAGAACATTGTTGTTTAATGAATAATGAATTGATTTGAGTTAGTGCGCAAGCCAGTAGGAATAGCTTGGTAACCAGTTTAGATTTCATATCCATTTAGTGTGAATGTCTGTGACTCAAAGCCATTAGTTGCTTTTCCATTTATGGTACTGGGTTATACTTGATGACAGGGGCTAAATGTGAAGTGGTAATGTTACTTTGGTGTTATTTGTTTGAGTCGATTAGTTTTCCCTGTTGATAGATTCTGCTGAACCCAAGTAAATATGTCTGTTGACATGTCATATCCTAGTGAGGATGCTTCGACGATGATTGGGGATTAACATAATGTTGTTCGTTTGATGGTTTATGGTAGATATTGTTTCCGTATTTAAGATGGTTCATACTGTAATCGAGTCTCTTATTCTGGACATCACCATTTACTGAACATGCTAGTGCACCTTACAACGAAGTCTCAAATATGACTGGATGCGTTTCATGTAATCCACTGCTACGCATCAATAATCAAATAAACATCGTGTAAGTAGGGAGGTGAGTTTAGTCCACTATGCATTCAAATTCAATAATCCCTACTGGTTTCCTCTATAACGTGAATTTACAATACTGCTGATAATGAGATCAGTGACTGTTTCGAATTAATGTAAAAAAGGGAATTTATATGAGATTAATTATGAAACAACCTCAAACTTTAATTATTTATCTATAGTTTCCAATGTGTAATACATCAAGCACTTGTTTCACTTCGAGTTAATATGTGTTATTCCATCAAAAATATTTATTACAAACCGTATTCAATCAAATAATTAGTAGCCTTCTAACCATCTGAATGTGGAGCTCTAAACATTCGTGAGGAAGCATGACTACACAAAAATTTAGGAGCAGTATAACAGAGTAACGCTATTCTAATGTAAATCACACAATAACTGACTATCTGGATTATTTATTGCGGTTATATTTAAAAGATGTTATACATGGAAGTATAAACCTCTTCGTACTTCTGCACATCTGCATTTGACTCTGTTCCTAGGTCTCTCTTGTTAAGTAAGCTTGCTGCAACACAGAGTGAGAGCTGGATAAATAAGTGGTTGTATTCCTACTTTTCTGATAGGGAGCAGTACACTGTCTACAATGGAAAGTCCTCCACTACCTCACTTACTTTAGCTGGTGTTCCTCAAGGTGCTGTTCTTTCTCCTTTTCTGTTTTCTTTTTTCTTACACGACTTGCCCCATTCTGACGTAGCAACTTTTGTCAAGTATGCTGATGACCTCTCTGTCTCCATGCCTGTCAACTCTCAGTCAGACTGTTCCATATTAAATAACTTTCTCTCGGAAATTAGTCAGTGGTCCTCTTCAAACGGTCTTAAGCTAAATCCGTCTGAATGTCAGGTAGTAAATTTCACTTTCAGACGAAAACGTGACCTACAACAACTAGCTACCTCACATGGTCCCACTATCACTGACGGCATAGAGTTTGAAACTACATCTAATGTCAAATACCTTGGACTGAGTATTTCCTCCGATCTTCCCTGGTCCTCTCACATCTTGCTAGTTACTAGAAAGATGTTTCGCTTAACGTTCTACGTTAGGAAGTTTAGGCAGTCTGGTATAAAGCAGTCTTTGCTTTCTCAGTTTGTCAACTCTTGTATTCTAACCATCCCTCTTTACTGCTCCCCATTAATCTTCCCTGGACTACTTAAGAAAGACTTTGCTTCGCTGCGTAGGGCACTAAAAGCTGTTAGTAGGGGAAGTGGGATTTCGTTAAACCAACTGGTTAACACTATTGTGGATAGACATATAATGTCATGTAAGAAACTAGCGAATTCTATATTGTCAGACCCCGAACACCCTCTCTACACGCACCTCTCTCCTTGCATTTCATCTGGTAGAACTAGAAGCAACTATAGGAGGCTATATGCCAGGACTACCAAGTACAAAAACTCCACAATACCTTATCTGGCACAGCTGTTATGTGATGAGAAATCCGTTAGGTATGACACGATCACTTTACCGCGGCACTCTAACAAAAAGTTCCCATTAGCTTTTGTTCTCCTTTCTTTGTTACTATTATATTGTTGCTAACATATTCAATTACACACTAATTTTATATTTCATATCCTGTGGTGCATTGTTTAAATATGTGAATACAATGCTGTTCTTCTTTTATTTCTTTTATTTCTCTTTTTTCTTTTTCTTGTTGTTGCTTTTTATTTTTAAAAATCTTTTAAAATTTATGAGGTAATTAGATGCAATATTGTAATGCACGCTGAAAATTCCATACCTGTACCACAAGTACTGTTTGGAATAAAGCTATTATTATTATTCTTGTGCCTTAATACTGATGTGCTAGAGTGATACATGTATTTATCGAACAGTATGTTCAAACAGTTCAGTCACTCTGGGCTAATACATGAAGAAAAGTTACCAAAAACATAAACTTACTCCATCTCCTTTACAGAATAATTTCCAAAATGAATTCTGTCCATTTATACAGCAATTATCTATTCTCATGTGATCCTGTTACAAATGTCATACAAACTTTAACACAACATTAAATCATTTGATGTCTGTTGGAAGGGATGTATGTAAACTGTTCATAATGACCTTTTTCAAAATATCTAAATGGACAGAGATCATATGGAAAATCATTGCCTCATATGCAACCCAATCAGTCATCCGATAGTCGCATAATTAAGCTAATAACCTAGTAAATGACACCAGATTAGTATTACATAATAGAACACAAATGAAATTTTTGTAATGTAACTATTTTTATCTAAGAAGAATACATGAAAGTTAATCTTGACTTAGTCTGAAGTTGAGTTGAGGCAATAGTGTTGATGTTTTTGATCTCTTATTATTATTATTATTATTCGAGCCCTTTAAATGGTTATCTAAACTATGATCAAGTATAGCGTGATCTGCCAAAAATTGAACTTTTTATTTTTATTTTCAAAATTTATTTTACTGAAATGTGACTGCTAGTCTAGTGTTGTGTGAGGTTTGAAACAGTCTAGTAACTATGTATTTATTTTAATGTTGTGTTCAACTGAATCGCCTTTAACACATTCTACAGTCACTTATTGTCATTCTGTTACTATTATTATTATTGCCTAAGGTGCCGAGTGGAATATTCGGCTTTAACAGCGCCATGGGACATATACCGAACTCATCGTTCCTTATTCGGAAACCGCTCAAGTGCCTGATGCTCTGTGTCATTCAGTAATCTCCCAAACATGTATCCAGTTCACCTCCATTTTCTTTGGCGTACTTCTTGAGCAGTTGACTTGTTCGTTCCTAGAGTTTCTTGTGGCTAAGTCTACATGGTTTGATCCTTAGTATAGAGACAGAATTAAATTAACATTGGTGTTTGAAATCCTGATTTTGTTCCTTATGTTGATTTCAGGATGAGGAAGATTTGCCTTGACTTTCACGTCTTGGCTTTGAAGCCTTCATCCATTATGCCTGTAGTTTTAACAATGCTACCCAGAAGAGTGAAGGAAATGACATCTTTCAAATGCCCTTCATCGATGGTGATTAGTACATGTTACTGTTTGTTAGTTATCCCTATCACCTTCATCTTCATTATGTTCTCCTGAAGTCATGTCCTTGCTGCTTCTTTTTCAAATTTATGTGACAATAGACAGAATTCGTCTACTATGTCCAGATCTTCTAGAGTCCTCTCCTCTTGTATTCTTATTCCTAAAGGTATTCCGGATGATCCAGTTAACCACAGTTAGAAATATTATCAGGGAGAGTAGTGACTCTTGTCTTACTCCTGTTTTCATCTCAAAAGCTTCTCTGTATTTTCCTTTGCGGGTCTCTTCACATATATAGTATTGTAAAATAGCTGCTTAATGAGGTACTAACTTTAGTACTCTACTTTCATGTTTTTCAACAATTCCACCTAGAACATCAATGGTTTACTGGTGCATCTACAAGTTGCAATATCACTAAATTCAAAATTTCACCGGGAACCAGTCAACTTCTAGGTGTCTTAGTCCAACAGACGCAGTATAAATTCAGGTTTTATGGGGTTGCTGAAAGTATATATATACATATATTTATATAAAACCAGATAGTTAAATGAAGTCTTTTTGAACGAATAACCCTTAATTTGACTACTGTTCGGAATAAAAGCGTCATATATATATATATATATTGAGTTCAAAGGGAATCACTGAGAAAGAGTTAAACAGAATCCTTTTACTTTAATCATTCTTTTGTCAAACTATAAAACTTGGTATAAGTGATACAGATAACTGGAACAATGATGGGGAAATTTCAAAAACAACTAACAGATAGACTTCTCGTTTAACAGTTATCTTTTACCAACAAAATATACGTCTATATATATCTACTGTACACCAACGATACCCAAATCTTCTCCAACCATGCCGTCCACTTCGTATGTACAGTAAATAGTAGGCTGGTGGAAAATAAGTTAGAGGTGGATAATAATTATTGGGTTGTCCAACACCTGGGAAATATGCAGTCGACTGAAATTCTAATGGGGCTGCTGGAACACCGACCGGGGACATCATCTGAGGTAACGCCATCGGTTGGGGAAGACTGGATCTACCAGATGCTGATGACTGTCCAACCTGAGGTAATCCAGACCCTCCTGGTTGTGCGTTCTGTGATGTCTGTGAAGGCCCAGGTGCTGAATTTATGGCTCCTGACTGAGATTGAGGCAATGGTGGGAGGGATTGACCTGATAAAAGAATAAAAACTTCTTTACAAAATTGAGTATAAAACAATACTTCATAATATTAATTTAGACCCAGATGTTCACGTCTACCTCAGTATAATTTTGAGCAGTAATATTTGTAGTCGAATACCAGGTCATCATTCTACCATCCACTTATGGTGATTTTATTCCTCCATTTTAGTGATTAAAGGATACAAGTGGAATTACAATTGGAAATGGAACAATCGTAAAAAGTAAATAAAGTATAAGACAGCTATTTCGTTCAAACTTGGGACTGTTAAGTGGTGATTACTCATTACCTCACTAGAAATCGAACCTGTAGTCACATGTAACCAAGACTAAGCTCACTAACCATTCACCCAACTACTCGAACCAACCACGCATATAATCCGGACCTGTTTTCCGGCTGACTCACTTTTAAACCTTGGTAAACCTGTAGTAAGAACGATGGAGAGGAGAGGCTGGGCGTGAGGTTAGCAACTCCACCCCGTAGAAATGAAGCCATTACTACTAATACTACTGAAACTTCAAAGTTCAAGCATGAAGCCCGACTTTCCACACAGTTCACACCAATAATAATTGGACTTCCTAGAGATAGCCCGGTGAAATGGAGATCCCCTAATTTCTATCGTGTAAACATTTATGTCACTGTCTTTTCCAAATTAGTAATATATATATATGTATATGGATGATATAAGCAAGCAAAGAAGACAATGCGATATGTTTGCGGGAGGTCCGGCTCAGATTTCCAGCCGATAAACTTTTAAACCTCATGTAATTTACTAGCCAATAGCTGGCCTCTTTCAACAGGAATAAAACGAACAAAAGAGATTAAGTGGTTTTGTTTGAACTAGAATGCAATACAGTTGAAAGCTTTTTATTACAAATTCAAAAAGCTTTAAGAACATTATCTCGCACGGTTACAGAAAAGTAGCAGAGACTCTATGAGAAGTGGCATAATTGTACACATTATCAACAGCTATCATTTTGGCTCAACTAACTCCTACCTACAAAATAATGTGCAAAGTGGTGAACAACCTGTCAAAGGCAACACACTTTCATCTCCTTTGAACTACTAAACATCTAGGTTTTCAGATAAGGAAACCGGAGTTATGCATTTGGAAGAAATTTATTCATCCACTTCGAATGAACGTTGTCTGTCACTATGCTTAACCATGCAAGATGGTGTTAAATGCGCCTGATTCTACCTCCTATGTAACTGATTCCACAGGGGCAGTTAAACGGATAGATAGAACTGGAAGAAACAAAACAAGGCAGTTTATCTTCAACTGGTGAATGTAAAATAGGGATGGTTTTGTAGAGACAGTGTACTTCAGGGGCATTAAATTCCCTTTTTACAACAAACCTCAAGCGTTGTGCTACTATTGTTTACTAATATTATCAACATAGAACTGAAGTTGTGCAATTATGACAACTCACTACTATTGGTCCCATACCAGTGTGAGAAAGAAATCGTGTACAAGTTCTGTTGTACAGTTGAACAAAACAAATCCACCCAAATGAGTCACCTCGGTATATATATATATATAATGTATATATAATGTAATTTATATACATATATATATTACATTCAGAAAGAAAGACGAAGAAGTAAAATAACTTACTGTTTACAAGAATATGATGGAATTCTGAGTTGATGAACAGAAATACTAGTAGTACGACTAGTAGTTTTATCATCATTCTAAAGTGTGCAGGGAAACAACAAAACACAAGAATGAATGAATGCATTGATCACGTTTATAATTCAGGTACTATCTATCTTTGTATTTTACAAACACTTGTCTTTCTTACTTCCTCTGTCTAGTGATGTATTTCTTACCTATCCGGCACAGCCAAACATAACCTAAACTAATTCGTTTTCCACCGGACATAATTATTATGCATAGATTCATTTCAAGTATGCCCGTATTTGGACTACTGTGAATATATAATGACAGTGATATAGGAATTAAATCAGAAATTAAGTACCTTGGACTTATTCTCCCTTCTGATCTCTCCTGGTCTTCCCATGTCTCAGCGATCTCCAGTAAAATATTCCGCCTGACATTTTGCATTAAGAAGTTAAGGCACTCGGGTATAACTCAACCCCTCCTCTTACAGTTCATAAACTCCTGCATCTTACCTATTCTTCTTTACTGTTCACCCTTATTCTTTCCAGGTTTGCTTAAAAAGGACTATATCACAATTCGTAGAATGCTGAAGACTGTCAGTAGGATGAGTGGTGTCCCAGTGGACTACATAGTTAACGTCGTTGTCGATAGGCATTTGACTTCGTGCAGTAAATTTGCCAAAGGGATTTTGTCTGACTTCGAGCATCCACTTTACCCTCAACTTTCACCTTGCATCTCCTCAGGTAGAACAAGAAGTAACTTCAGAAAACTGTATGCTCCCACGTCTAAGTATAAAAATTCTATGATACCATACTTGGCACGTATTTTATGTGATGAAAATAATGTCAGGCAAGAATTAACTAACCTTTTTTCATCCAGTAAATAAACAATTTCCTCCATCCATCCTTATATACCTTCAAGTTTTAATTTTATTATTTCTATTATCTTTATGGTCCTGTTGCTTCTTTGTTTTTACTTTCATAACTGCAAACACCAACTTATCTCTATGACTGATGTAATCTTTGTTTTTTCTCTCACCATATCATGGAAAGAGAACATTATATTCAATATTTTTAATCATGCAAGGTTTTGTATACCACATCGACAATACTGTGTGAAACAAGCCCACGGCAATTTCCACTTGCATTATTATCATTACCTTAGCTGCTATCATTATTATTACTTCCACTTTATATACTGCATGTTTTTTTTTGATATTACCTCTATTGTAAATGTGGAAAATTTTTCTATGTGATTAATTTTATTTATAATTTGAGGAAATCAGATGCAATATTGTGATTAATGCTGAAAATTCCATTCTGTATCACAAGTACTGTTCTGGAATAAAGTGAATCATTATTATTATTACTATTATTATTATTATATATAACCTCAATGAGAAGGTTTCTGAAATTCTACAGTTTCTTGTCCTTCTCAAACACGGGAGTGTAACATTCTTGAATAAGTTATTTAAAAATAAAATTTCCCCACTATTCACAACTATAATTATACGAGTATTCCCTAATGTGTCTGGCATTTAACTACAGCAAACTGATAACTTAACTTACTTTTTTATTTTTTCAAATCCAGTTTAAGTTTATGTCAATAATGTTATCTTTTATAGAACATTTTGATTGTTTAGCATTTTTTCAGATCTTCAGTATTTATCTGTATGTGATTGGTCGACAAAAACCCAAGTTAATTAGAACAAATTATTTACCCTCGCATCGAATTCGTGATTTAATCCTACGTGTCGCAAACAGTGAACAGTACATTTATTTTTCTATAATAAATTATGTTTCTAAAATCCTTTAGCTTAGAAATTAGATTTAAAATATTCATTCTTTTTTTTAAAAAATGAGTGTAGTCTTTTTAGTTAGACTCATGTTTTTTGGTTTCAACCAGACTCTGTAATCAAACAGTTCAGTTTGTAGTGAAAAAAATACAACAAGTAGTTTAGTGAGGTGACTCATTCGGGTGAATTTGTTTTGTTCAACTGTACAACAGCATTTGTACACGATTTCTTTCTCAGACTTGTATGGGACCAATAGTAGTGAGTTGTCATAATTACACAACTTCACTTCTATGGTGATAATATTAGTAAATAATAATAACACAACGCTTGATGTTTGTGGTAAAAAGGGCATTCAATGCCCCCTGAAGTACACTGTCTCTACAAAACCATCCCTATCTTACATCCACCAGTTGAAAATAAACTACCTTGCTTGGTTTCTTCCATTTGTATCTATCCGTTTAACTGTCCTTGTGGAGTCAGTTGCATAGGAGGTACAATCAGTCGCATTTATCGTCAGATCTCCTAACATCATCCTGCATGGTTAAGCATAGTGACAAACAACGTCCATTCGAAGTGGTTTAATAAATTTCTTCCAAATGCATAACTTCTGTTTCCTCATCTGAATGGCTAGAGCTTCAGTAGTTCAAAGGAGATGAAAGTGTGTTGCCTTTGACAGGTTGTTCACCACTTTGCACATTACTTTGAAGGCAGGAGTTAGTTGAGCCAAAATGATCACTGTTGATAAGGTGTACAATTATCCCACTTCTTATAGAGTCTCTGCTACTTTTCCGCAACCATGCGAGTTAATGTTCTTAGAGCTTTTTGAGTTTATAATAAAAATCTTTCAACTTTGTTGCATTCTGGTTCAAACAAAACCACTATTTTTCTTTTGTTCCTTTTATTGCTGTTGAAAGAGGCCAGCTACCGGCTAGTAAACTATATGAGGTTTAAAAGTTTATCGGCTTGAAATCGAACCCAAACCTCTCCCAAACATATCACATTGTCTTCTTTGCTTGCTAATATCATCTACATAGTATGGAGTCTACTGATATCGTTATATCAAACCTGATGAAAGTACATTATCGACTAAGCTTACGTTGGACCAACATGGAGACACTAGAAGATGTGTACTTCGAGAATGATCTATGTCTAATGTCAAACAAAACTTGAAGATCTACAGGCTGAAACCAACAAGTTGACTAAAAAAGCAACGTTGAGAAGACTTCAGGTGAAAATAAATAGTAGAAAGATGATGAAGTTACCTAAACCAACAAAATCAAGCAGCAAAGAACACTGTCAAAGTGGAAATTTGAAGGGAGTCATTTCATTCACTTATTTAGGCAGCATCATTACAACTACATACAGTGTGGATGAGGATATCAAATGCCGGATTGGATTAGCAAAACAGACTTTTATTATTCTTCAGTTAGTATAGAAATCTACTCCATTCACTATGAGGAACAAGATCCGAAATCTCAACACAAACGCAAAGTCAGTGCTTCATGGACTTGGTGCATGCGTCAGAAAGGCATTTTTAGCAGACTACTGATGACCTTCATCAATATCTGCCTTCCCACATACTTGAGGTTAGATGATTGGACAAAAAAGGTAAACAGGCGGAAGGAACTCCAGCGACGGAACGACTAAGAACCTGTCGGCCAAAATGTATATTTAAAGAAATCGAGATGAATCGGCCACACGCTGATGTGAGAATTGAATGACATCACACGACCAAGCCTCAGGAGAAACCCGGATAGAAGACGACAGGTTGGCTGTCTGAGTGTGACGTGAGAGATTTTCTTTGGGTATAAATGAAAGCCTATGATCAATCGTGGCGTCAGCTCAAAAGGCTTGAAGAGAAAAGAGTGGAATGGCGGCAACCTGCTGCTGAAGTCGAATATTCCACTCGGAACTCAATGAGATAGTGACATAATGTACAGTGGGAATGTAATTTTTCTCTTAATTAATCTGGTGCTTGATGAATATGAATTCAGAATGATTTAGTGACTTACCAAAGATTCGCATTTAATTGTTTATTTCATACATTTGGTTCCCTTGATAAAGTTAACTGAAGACTTCCCAGAAGCACCTGAACGTTACGTTTGTAATCTGTCAAATTTACAATTAAGCAAAATTGAATTAGAAGCTTTATCCTTGGGATTCAAGTTTCACGTCCCTAAAAAGCACATAAACCGTATAGATAAAGAAACGCAGTTTGAATACTTATACTATCAACTTGCTGACCTGCAACCTGTGGACGAAGACAAACGAGGATGGCTAAAGTCCAAAGTGGTTGATATAGCCAACCAATACTACACATCACCACCCGAAAAACAAAATATGCTTACTGAGGAGCATAGAGCGGCACTAAGGAGACTATGTGAAAATGATGACATCGTCATGTTTAGACCCGACAAAGGCTCTGGAGTTGTTATAATGAATAAAACTGATTATGTACATAAAATGTTGACAATTCTTAACGACTCCGAAAAATTTCAGGTGGACAAAACTAAGAAGGATGCAACAACGTCATTCGAAAATAAAGTGAATAAATGCCTCAAGGAACTACTCATCAAGAAACTGATTGACAACAAAACTTACAATGAACTCAAGCCAAAGGGTGGACGACTCCCATTTATGTACGGTCTACCAAAAATCCATAAGTCCAATGTGCCCTAAAGACCAATACTATCAATGATAAACTCACCGTGCCACAAACTAGCTCGATGGCTAGCTGATTCATTGAAGCCAATACGACAAAAATTTTCAAATTATAGCTTGGATGACACCTTCCAATTTTCTAAAGAAGTCGATCACGTTGACGTATCCAATAAAATAATGGTGTCATACGACGTGACTGCCTTATTTACAAATGTACCAGTGATGGAAACAATAGATATCATTTGTAAACAAACAGATCTATTGCCAATACCGGAGTCAGAGATGAAACGACTACTAATTCTTTGCACAAAAGATATACAATTTAGATTCAATAACCAATTCTACCGACAAATCGATGGGGTCGCCATGGGTTCACCTCTAGGACCCATTCTAGCAGACATCTTCATGGGCTATCTTGAACAGACGCGACTGAGTGATGCTATCGATGAAACAACATACTACCGTCGATACGTCGATGACACTTTTGTTGTTTGTAATGACATGAGTCAGGCATCCGTATTATTTGACCACCTAAATGAGGTCCATCCAAACATTAAATTCACCATGGAATACGAACATAACGATGAGTTCAATTTCACAGATCTAAATGTAAAAAGAAGAGACGATGGAACGGTCGAAAAGTCCATCTACAGAAAAGAAACTTGGACCGGACAATACCTTCACTACAACAGCTTCTGCCCTATGAGCTATAAGCGGGGATTAGTAAGGACACTGTACGACAGGGCTACGAAGTTAAGTTCGCCCAACAAGATAGAAGAAGAATTAAGCTTTGTTGAAAAATGCCTTAAGGGAAACGGGTATCCAAAAGGCTTTATCCTACAGTACAGCAAAGAAAGAGATGAGAAAGAGAAGTATCCAACATTTGAAAAGAAGGAAGTGTTCATTTGCCTCCCATACAAAGGAGAAACAGTATCTCAAAAGATTGAAAAAAAAGATGAAAGGAGCAATCAAGAGATGCTTCCCTGCAGCCAATCTAGTGACACTATACAGTAATACATGCTCTATAAGCCAATCGAAACTGGATAAGTACCCTGCTGATGTTACCTCCAACTGCATTTATAAATTTACGTGCACCTGCGGCAGCAAGTACATCGGAAGGACAGAAAGAAGGGCTTCTATCCGGTTTTCAGAGCATATTCCGAGAAACTTATGCTTAAAAGGAAGCAAATATTTACAAAGTGCAATTACCAGACACCTTGTGTATACGGGCCATTTTGTTGAGATTTCCAAATCCTTCAAAATATTAAACATACAAAGGACAGCGAATCTACTACGACTTGCTGAAGCAATTGCAATCGAACGTCTCAGACCAAACTTATGCACACAGAAGGAGAGTGTAGTCAATCTCTCACTCCCTTGGTAACCATATCACTTTCATTACACTGATTACTCATAGACACTAGTGAGTTCAACTCACTAAGCAAGTTTTCAAAATTATGAACTTTGACCTTTTTGAGTTGCCATGTTGACACTTTATTAAATTTTTCTGTTTCCTGTCTTCTCTCACCCCCCCCCTTTTTCTTCCTTTTTTCATAGTTTGATAGTAGTGAATGGTAAATTAAATTACAAAAAATGTTAATCCTTATATTCTGGATGCGTTTATCATATAATGCTTTCTGTATTACCCTTCAAGCAATGAAGTATGAAATGTTATTATTTATAACCATTGTAATTTCAGGTAGTTTGCAGCTGATGAGAACCTGTGAAATAGAATGATATCATTTTATACAACAAATCTGGTCTTTCTTTCTCTATCGTAATTGTTTATTATTTAGACGGCTTGTTAAGTAACTGTCAGGAGTTATCTGCCACTCAACCACTATGCCATCGTTAATTTAAAGACGATACAAACTAGTAGTTTCTCTGTTTTCATTGTATTTAATCATCCACCCTAATCAGATATGTATTCGTCCATATATTATCAGTAATGCAGTTGTTGTGCTTATTAAGGTCTTCATTTTCAAATGCTCTACAAACTATTCATATTTACATTATCATATTTATACTACTTTTTCCATATTAGTAGTAAACTTAGAATCCAAGAAATATACCCACAGAATGATAATAATAACAGCTTTGTTCTGAACATGTTTATAATAACTTGACTTTTTTATTCTTCATACAGAATTTTCAAGTCAAACACCACAACATAATATATCATTCGATAGAATTTTGTTCACTAGCCAGCAAGCCCTGACTACCGACGTAATTATCTCATCAAAACAGATCAAGCATTATGTTGAAACCTATTCAACAATTGCAAATGATTACGGACTATTCTCCGAGGACGTAAACAGTTGGTAAAAGAAAGTATAACAGTAAATTTGACAGATTGTTATCTGTGGACAATTATAATGGCGCAGTGATCTAAACAGACTGCCGTTTACAATGCAGGATAATTACTCCTCCATTGGAAAACATTTTACTTTCTCCTGAATTCACACAAATTTGCTGTGTATTTCGTTCTTTATAAGAGGTATTTCTTCATGCTCTACGACATCTTTGATGTGAAGATAACTGCTGCGTACTGAACTATGCCTCCAGGAAATTGACTTTGGTAGGTAATCGTAGCGATCGTAACGACCAACACCACCATCAGAACAATATCGGAAGCGAAAAGTAGGGAAGAAGACGGATCACTGACTGACATAACTTTACTGTCACAACAAAATCAGCATAGGCTAGGGTGAAACTGAAACTATGAAAAGTCGATCACCCTGATTATTACTAAATTACTCGAAAATCATAGCTCTCGATATGTACAGCTAAGACCTCAACAACGCTAAATGTAGGGAAACATATCGTTATCAAAAGGTTTCTTTTGACCTCATAGACAACCCGGAATGATTTTTCCTCTATTAATCAGTGACCAGTTTTAATGCATTTTTAACTATAACTGTGTGCGTTCACCCATTGTAGACTTTTTGTCGTCATGAGGGATAGTGTTCCTTTGCTCTTCTGTATATTTAGTTTTAAACGAAGAAGTGAATTTGTAGATTCACATAGAAGTGATCAAATGTGATAGTTTATATTATAAGTCACAGAAGGACGTTGGGTGGTAGGAGAATACAAATCTTAAAATATAAAAAGAATATTTTCAGAGTGTCTGATATTTTCTACTTTGGTTTGAAAGTCATCTTTGAGTCCTACGGTTATTGGTAACATATTCTTTGTCACAGAGATGGGATTTTCTTTGTCTGGTTTTAGTCTTCTGTGTTTGTCTGTGAGCATAGGAGATAACCTTCTTTCAATTATTTTCTTGTTCAGAAGTGTGATTTCTTCACTATCATGGAATATTTCGATGATATAAACAATATTCCAAACTAATTTATTTTTTTGCTATC